CGCAAAAGCCAACTGGCGCTTCACCACAATCGTCCCCTGAGTGAGAGTTCACAGCACCAACTGTCGGACTTCACTCACCGATCTTCGTCTCTCGCAGCAACTTCTCGTCTGCACCTTCGCTCGCCTCCGGCGTCAGCACCACCACAGCTCCATGTCTTTCGGTACGTCCACTCTCTTTCGTCGTTGGCCTCTCTTCCGTTGCTAACTCGTGCCTTCCGTAGACAACGTCGCTTTCGTCGACCTCACGTCCTCACCCTGCTCTTCTCCTCGCTCTGCCGCGCCGCGGCTCAGCCGTTGTGTCGACTGTTGAGCTGGCCGATCCTTCGCTGGACCTTGCCGATGTGCAGGCTTCGCTGAGCGTGTTGCAACAAGCCGTCCACCAGACCGAGGCACTGCGCGAACTTCGCTCGAATCATGAGGCTCTGCGCCGCGAGTTTCTGGCTTCGCGTCGTCGTGTGGAAGATCTAGATCGTCAGCTTGCCGATGCGGCCAACGCTGCGTCTCCGTACGTGCTCTTTTGCCAGCACAAGTACGATGTGATTCGCCACAAGCTGGAATCTACTCGGACAGAACTCGCTCCAGGAACGAATTCGCCTTATCAAGAACAAGTGCCTTCGGTTCAAGAACAGAGACTGTAGCGGGAAGTATATTGGCCCATACAGTAATCAAGTTAATTCTACCAGATACACGCGTCAGTCGTCGGAGTTTGCAGCTTGACCGGTCGATCGTCTCCGCTCTCGCCCTCAACTCTCCTGCTATAGGAAGCGGTCAAGTCTCGCAAGTAAAGGAACAAGGACCCCCCCCTCCCCACGCAAAGGAACAACCACACCCCAAGTCGATCAAGATCGACAACCTACCTGGCGCATAGCCTGAAGAGTATCCACGCTACGCCACCCCAACCATCCTGCGTCCCGCCAAGACGAGACCAGCCCAGGCCAAGCTTCCCATCAAGTCCACCAGAGGAGTGTAACCAGCCCCACCGACGGGTACACAAGATGAGCCCTCAGCAACCCCACGATTATCGGAGTACCCCCTCCGTAAGTCGGCAGTCCAGGGCACTGTGTGTCAGACTGGAGCGCAACGTGATTTTGCGAACCCCACTCCACCACAGTGGTCGTACGCTGTTCGGATTTCGTCTCGAAGCGATAATTCCGGGGAGACGCTCAAGTTCAATCCCGATGTTTGACACATGGCGCATTCATCAACATCGTCTTCATCGAGCAAGACTTGTCGACCCAATGAACCTCGTGGGTTGTAGTCTGGTCGCCGAGACAAAGCGTCGGCGAGAATGTTGTTCTTGCCGGGCTTGTAGTGGACAACGAAGTTGTACTCAGAGAAGAACGAGAGCCAGCGGGCCACCGTTGGGTCAGATGCGGGCTCTTCATTGCTGTCCTCAGCGACGCGTGTTCGGTATACATCGCGAAGGTCTTTTCACCCAGTAAATACACTCTGAATGTGATCAGAGCGTATCTCACCGCGACTTGTCATGGATCGGGTAGTTCCTCTCGGCCGGCTTCATCTGCCTGGACTGGTAACTCACGACTCGTTCGCGGCCTTCATCGTCCAATTTCATCAGCGCGCAGCCGATGGCGAAGTCACTCGCGTCACACACGACGCGAAAAGGTTTCGAGTCATCCGGGAGAGCAAGAATTGGAGCCTCTGCTAGGCTTTTCTTCACCGAGTTGAATGCGTCTTGATGCGCTGGAGTCCATGACCATACCGCATCTTTCTTTTCTTCAACAGCGAGGAAAGCGGCTGGATCAGACTGGCGTAGTTCTTCGTGTACTTGTGAAGATAATTCGCCAGACCCAGCCACTGACACAACTCAGTGGGCCTCTGTGGCGTGGGCCACGCGCAGATCGACGACACTTTCTCGGGGTCAGCTCGGACGCCGTTCTTGTTCACGAAACAGCCAAGCACAGGGATCTCCGACGCACAGAAGATACACTTCTTCAGGTTCGCATACAACTTGTTCTCACTCTTCATTTGGAAGACTTAGCTCAAATGCCTTAAGTGGACCTCGAGCGCGCTGAGATCACCCTCAACGCGACTGTGGAAAAGATGGCGTCGAAGTAGCTTGGAGCGAAGTCACCGAGTGGGTGCAACACATGGGATACCATGCGATTAAACGTGGCTGGGGCATTCTTCAATCCTTGTGGCATGCCAAGCCACTCCCAGAGCATACCGCTGGGAGTACTCACCGTCGTGAGGGGTATGTCGCTCTGTCTCATGAGGATTTGATAAAATCCATCGGTCAAGTCGATGGCGCTGTACACTTCGCTACCCGACATGGCGTCAAGTACCACGTCCTTCCCACGACGGCGCTGCGAAGCGTTCCTCGCGTGTCGACTTCGGCTCAACGCCGTGAGGTACTGTCATCGCTGACAGTATTCAGCTCGGACGACGCTAGATCAGCGTCGGTGATCACGCAGACCTGTTCGATGGCACCGTCCTTCAGATCGTGAAGGAAGTTCTTCCAAGAGAGGCCTGGAAGTCGGGTGATCGACTGCGCTTCTCGAGGTGGGTTTGCCAGCTCGATTGTGCGTTGGTGTCCGAATGTTCCTCGTATTCAAGCACGCAGACCGACTCCGTCGATGAGCTGACACTTGACACGGGTTCGCGACGGGGTTTCAGACATCGACGCTTAGCTTTCTTCTTTCGTCGCCTCGAGTGCGAGCTCGAGGACGAGGAATCGCTCTCGCTGGACGAGAGACCCCCCCCCCTCTAGGCGCGAAGGACCGTGTCGGATCCGGCCAGAAACAAGCGGGAGCCCCTGCTCGACCGCGGTATCGTTCGGCGCGAGCGCCAACTGCTCGACCACCACTTGGGAGTGAACCTCGCGCCGCCGCGGGTATCGTCGTGTAACAGTACTGCGCATGCAGTGCAGAGAGGGCCATCGCTCACTCTGTGCACGACGGGGACGTGGGGCCAGACCTTCTGGGCAACCAGGAGGTGGGTGAACACCTCGCTCACGTCGAAATCACCACGACGCTTGACAGACCGAGCCAACCAGTCGATCTCTGGTTGATATCTCAAAAACCAAGGCATACCCAGGATGCAGTCGGACACGTAGTACATGTCGATCACAAGGAAGTCGTCCTTGCTACGGAATCCGTCAAGCGTGTACGGCAGTGTGATCTCACGCCGCGGCCCTCACGGACGCTGATCGCCGATGGGAGTACCGACAGACACGACGCACGGAAGAAGTTGTTCGTCGCTCCTAAGTCCAGGAGTGCGCGCAGTGGTCGTTGGGCACCGGCGACGTGAAGACTGACGATGATCAGTCTCGAATCGCTCAGTGTGGTGGTGGCATTGAAGTGTGCGTGGAGTACGGGAGGGCTAGACGGTTGGGTGCACCGGGGGACCTGGACCTTCGTCCCAGCCAGTCGGGTACTAACCCTGACCGTTTTTTTGTTTTGGCTAAACGGCAGGAAAAGCTTCGACGTCGACATGTGCGAGAACCAGAGCGGGAGCGCAGCCAACAGCCGCACGATGACCACGCTTCCGGCAAGGGAGCAGATAAGGGAGCGACCAGTGCGGCCACCTGCCCCTCGAGAACCATTGCGTTGGCGACTGCTCGATGCATTGATTGCGTCGATCTCCATGGGCTCGGGGGCCGTCTCTCGAGCGGACGCAGGTAGCGCGCGGTATGAGATGATGCCACCACGTAGTCCTCGCGGAGCGCGAGGGCAAATGCTTCTTCAAGCGTGGAAGGCTCGTCTCGGGTGAGGCAGTAACGTGTCATGCCCTCACGCGTGCCGAAAACGAAGGCATGGATCTGAGAGGCCATGTCGATGGGCTTGGTTACGATACACAACGCGAAGTGTCGCGTCTTCTTGACGTAGTCGCGCATGGACATCGAGCCTTGCCGGAGGGCAAAGAAGTCCGCTCGAACGCGGGATTCATCTTGGGGCGGCTCGAAGGCGAGCCGAAGATCACCCTGGAGCGCTTCCAGTGGGCGGGGAAGGCGTTAGAGTCGACAACCAGCTTGCCGAGTGCTCATTCCTTTGCCTTCCCGGACAGCCGGGAGAGAAGAAAATTGACTTTAGCCGACGGCGCCTCGAGCAATCTTGAGGCGATGGCAATATCGATCTCCCGGAACCACCGATTCAGCGGAAGGCGATCTTCGCCGACGCCGGAGTAGGCCGACGTCTCTAACTTCAAGACGTCGTGCTTGGACGAACGCGAGGGAGTTGACACTCGGCGATCTCGCGTTCCATGAACTCTAGTGCCGCGAGACGCTGCTGATCGGGAGTCGCTGAGCGCAGCAGCGACGTGACGATAGTTCCACTGGACACCACCGCGAGGCAGTGGAGAGCTTCCCACTCTATACGAGTGAGATGGGGAGAAGCAGCGTGGTCGAGGTCTTGACTCATGTCGAACTTGGTCATTGGAAGGACTACTAAGTGCTTCCAGGTGTAACGGGCCAGGTATTTATCCGTCACTAGCTTACACTGTAGATAGGAGGAAGCTCGCAATTATCAGGAAAATTCAACTCTGACTTTATTTAGGACCAGGGTGACAGCCCTGACCGCTCAAATACATGATATCGGCTGATTGGCTAATAATGGGTCTGTCTCCCCATATATCAACCAATAAGATGATGACAATTCAGCACACGAGTAGCGTGTGCTGATGCACCTACTTTTGTAAAAACAACCTACCTACTTATGTAAAGGAGGGGCCTGTTACAAGTGGGGTACCCCTATCGTTAGTCGGTGTCTGGGTACTGATAGGAAGTCGGATCAGGCAATCTTGCAGATTTTGCTGATCCCGCTACACCACAACGGATCCTGACACTCCAGTTGGCCGAGGAGTGCCAAGTCCCAGTTGACTTGCTAATCACTACACCACAAGACACTCAAGCTTCATCCAATTGAACCTTTCTGCAGATGCCAGAGGAGCAAGATCCTGCTCTACCGACGGGTACACATGGTAAACAACTGCGGCAGATCACGGATCGTCGAGGGACCCCTTTCGTTAGGCGGTCTCTTGGGGGGGGGGGATTCGTAACCAGCAACCTCGCAAATTTTGCTGATTCCGCTACACCACATATGCATAAAATCTGGGGTCCTAATGATTTGGCGCGCTCTGGAAGCATTCACTTCTAACTGTGAGCACCACATAGTGCACAGAAAAAGCTTTTAGTGTATTATCATTGGTTTTTATTTGAATGGCATTAACGTTTAGAGTTGCGGCAGTGCCAAGCTGCTCCTTGGCGCACTTGCAGATGTTGGAGACGTTCTTGCGCAGTGGCGAAAACAATCGCCTCGGTACTGAACTAGGAGCGGGCTTATGGTTAGCTGGATCTCACCTCAGTGGACTCTGTTAGAAAGAGAATTCTACACTGAGAAGCCTCACTACAAGACTTCAAATTTTTTAGGCTTGTACATCCCAACATCTCATATAGAGACCTTCCCTCTACGTTCATGTAGTTTCAAAATATACATTTCGCCAAGCTTTCCTACCCGGTTGTTTGACAGTGTTGGCAGCGAGGTTGCTTGCAGCGATTACATGTAGTTAAGCAGCATACATTTCACCGTGGCAGTAGCTAGCGTCGCGCCTGTGCCATGCAAAACACCACCGCCACCGTGTGCATGTATTTGTGATAATGTTGGGCTTTCATTGCGGCCAATTAAATCGAACCTCAACTCTTACTTTCACCAATCACATTAAACCTTCAACTCTTCACCAAATCTCCTGATTCTGCCAAAACAGGAAGCTTTCTGGATGAGGGCAGTCTGATTGGCTGCTTCTAACCCGTAGTAGAGAGTGTACGGGTTTCACAAAAAGTCAGTATAATAGGTTATTGCCAAATCGGTGCTCAGGTTGGGTAGTGGAAAAAACTGCGGGCTATTCATAAACTCAGTCTCGCTTCCGCACCACCCCACTTCCGTGCCGATGTCGCTCTTCTCGCGCCGGAAAAACCCAGATCAGCTGGTGAAGCTGCTGAAAGATGCCTTCGCGGACCCGTCAGCGCCTGCCAAGCCTTCGAAGGATGGGACGGTGAGGTGCTAGCTGAGTGTTGTCTGAGTTGTTGCTAGCTCTGACCCGGACTCCTTGTTGCTCCCCTCCTCTTATTATTGTTGCTTTAGGCCGTGGAAGAAATTACCAAGCGTCTGAGCGAGATGAAGCTGCTTCTGTATGGGGATGGAGAACAGGAGGCCAAACCAGAGAAATGCGCGCAGCTGGCGGAGCTATTGATCGCTAGCGGCCTCGTCCCCAAGCTGATCATGGGGCTGGACAAGCTTCCCTTCGAGGCGCGCAAACAGTTCGCGCAGGTGTACAATAATCTCATGCGGCGCGACCTTGCGGGCTTTGTAAGCTACGTGGACCGTAAGCCTGAGATTCTGTCAGCCCTTGTGGCGGGTTACGAGAATGCCGAGGTGGCGCTCAACTGCGGTACAATGCTGCGTGAGGTAGGCTGAGCTGCCTGCTGTATCGGATTCCTGCTGTGAAGATACTGATGGTTCTCTATTGTCCATTGCAGTCGATTCGCCACGAGATTCTGGCCGGCAAGATTTTGTACTCGCCCGACTTGTGGAAGTTCTTCGATGTGTATGTTCATCTGCCCAACTTCGAGGTCGGGTCGGATGCGTTCGCTACGTTCAAGGATCTGTTTACGCGCCACAAGAACCTGGCTGCTACGTTTTTCACGTCCAACTTCGACGTGGTCTTCGCCAAGTACAATTGTCTGCTGATGTCGGAGAACTACGTCACTCGGCGGCAATCGCTGAAGCTTCTGGGCGAGATCCTGCTTGATCGCTCCAATTTCGACATCATGATGAAGTACATCGGGTAAGTTTTGTGCGACAAGTTAGGCAGAAAATGGGATCATTATCGGCTCAGATTGCTTGTCATGGTACCTACAGGGAGAAGGAGAATCTGAAGATGATGATGAACCTGCTGCGCGATACGAGTGCGAACATCCAGTTCGAGGCATTTCACGTGTTCAAAGTGTTTGTGGCCAACCCGAAGAAGCCCGAAGCGATCTCTCTGATCCTTGTGAACAACCGTGAGAAGCTTATCGCGTATCTAAAGAACTTCCAGAACAGCAAAGGTATGAAATTGTGTGTATTTCAAGCGGCGACCTTTTATCGGGCTAAATGTTTGTCCTTTTTTGCGGTGCTGAGAACAGAGGACCCGCAGTTTATCGAGGAGAAGGCGTTGCTGATCAGGACGCTGGAGGGACTGAAGGTTGGCGAAGCTGCCTCCGAGGCGACTGACCCTCCTCCTGCCCCGTCATCACAGTGAAATTATCGTACATTGTCCCTGGGAAAGAAGGCTGGTACTTCTGCATGTGCTTGATGGCTCAGCACTGCGTGTTCGATAATAAACTGCAACAAAACAGTAGCTAGAAAAAAGTTGTTTGTTTTCACTCAAATGCATTGAATAGAATTGAAAATCATCTACTACTTCAGCATCTAACAATTGTATGCGACTAACGGCTATGACGCTAGTGCTTGACGTTTTATTTCCGCCAGAAGGCGCCTGCTTGCCCAGGTAAGTTACGAATGGAATCTCACTTTATGCACACTGCTCCAATTGAAGACACATGCAGTTACATGCACCACAGCGTAATATCATAGGTATTCAAGCAACTATCTGCTCACAACCACCGCGCTGAGCTAACACCCCGAAGCTGATTTATCGTCAGTACTTTTCCAGGGATCGACCCGGCCAAATCGTCCACGCTGCACGCTGGCACCTGTCTGCAACGCACGAGTGGTGTATATGACTTCACTGGCGACTATGCCTACTCCACCGTGGTATCACCCATAGGCGCTCTCATTACCTGCGGCTCATTCGTGCCGATGGCCGTCTACAGTAGCTTCCAGTCAGAAACAAGTCGGCGGATTATCTTACCGCTGCGTTGTACTTAGCACACCCACGACAATAACCATTGAACATGCGTGAAACATTGCAGACAGCTTGCTCGTCGCACTGGAGAACACTCCATTCAATGCCACATCGATGCATCGCCACGGATCACGATGATCCATCGCACGGGTTCATTTTGGACTCGTCGTCGTAGCTCGCCGTTCTTTGTTTGATACAACGAGACGACTGCAGTATAACGCTTCGCGCACTCGCTTCTCCAACGCAGCTCCACCTCCGGTGCCTCCGGAGCCCAGCCCATAGCTCCAGTCGGTGCCCACGTTCTACATTTTTCCATCCAATCGGATGGCTTCAACTCCGCTCGCCCAATCAGCGCGCACGTTCGAAAAAATAGCCACACGGTGCAACTTCGACTTCGTGTTGTTGCGAACGGCACCAGGACCTCGATCGCACGCTCCGGGGCCCGAGCTCCGGCTTCTTTCTGCGCCGAACTGGACGCGCACCATCGTCGGTCGCTCGCCTGTCGGCGTGACGCACTCGGATCCACCGTCCGACGAGCGGCATTTCGCGCTTCAGCCCACGAACTCCAGAGCTCCGAGTCCTCAAGTGAGCGTGCGAGTCGCCAGCAGGTCTTCCAGCGTTTGTTTCTGGGCCTCCGCACTACCTTGCTGCTTTGAGGTTACTTGTCTCCTCCCGTTATACAGCGGAGCGGTCCTGGTCCGTTCTTCACGCTTGTCGTTGTCCCCATTTGAGACTTCGCCGCATGCACGCCACGAGCTCCAGCACGCAGAGCGGAGGCAGCCCCGTCACGGAGGACGAGGAGTCCATGTCGCCCTTCTCGTCGCCATCCTCCGCCTCCACGAACGGTGCTAGCTTCGCGCAATTACTTCAGCGCGCAGCTCAGACTGGAGACGTTAAGCAGATCGTCAAGCTTGTCCAGACGGCGCGCACCAGCGCCTCCTCTCCGTCGTCCGGCATTGATATCACCAAAAGATCCTCCTCGTCGTCGTCGTCATCGGAGCCTTGGATCGACGCTGCAGATGAAGACGGCTTCACAGCACTACACCTCGCATGCGTTGGCGGACACGATGATGCCGTGCATGAACTGCTACGAGCCGGTGCTCACTTGGAAGTCGCAACACCTGAAGGATTTACTGCACTCATGTTCGCCGCATGGTCTGGGTCGCTCTCGCTCGTGCAAACGCTAGTCTCACTTGGAGCAGACGTGACGGCACGCGACGTGGACGGCAACGACGCTGCTTTCATCGCCAAGATGAACGAGCATGCGAGTGTGGCCAAATTCCTGCAGCAGCAGATGGAAAACCCGGAGGACCTGCCGAAGAAGCCGCACAGTACGTCATCGAAAAAGAGCGGACAAGAGCAGGACCTCGAGTCAATTTCCCCCGAGAGCTCCCCGGTTAAGTCGATAAGGTCCAGTGACTCCAGAGCTTCGACGGGAACCGAAGGCAGCGGAATCGACAGCAGCAGCAGCAGCTCATCGACGTGCTCGTCGCCCGAGCAGCTCGCAGGGAAGACTTTGCTCACTGAGGAAGCGAGCCCCTCGGGCGACACTGACGGTGCCACGCCATTACACGTTGCGGCTATGCACGGACAATTGGAGACCGTCAAGGTGCTCCTGGCTCGCGGTGCTAGTCTGTCGGCTGCGCTGCCGGGTGGTGCGACTGGGTTACACTTGGCATCGGCATCGGGCTTCGTTGATGTGGCCTCGTACCTGATTGACCAGGGCCTGCCAGTCGACGAGCCCACAATAGCCGGCACAACGCCGCTTCATGAGGCTGCATACCAAGGACACGTCGAGGTGGCCGCACTACTGCTAGATCGTGGAGCCAACGTGGATGCAGCGACTGAGCGCGGCACGACGCCATTGCATCGAGCAGCTGAAAACGGTCACGTGCAAATTGCTGAGCTGCTGATCGCCCATGGAGCTCACATCGATGCTGTGACGACGGATTATCTCGCTGCGGCTGTGGATAGTGAGGCAGCGGGTGAGAATTCTCGCCGGCGACGACGTCGGAGACGAAAGAAGTCGGTCGCTGTGGAAACGGGAGGAAAGGCATTAGCTGAAGAAGCGCCCGAGACGGAACCGCGAACTCCGGATGAGCTAGAAAAGGAAATTTCGTCCTGCAGGTCTAACCAAGTCGCGCTCTGTTTGGCAGCCAAAAACGGTCACTTGGATATGGTGCAGTATCTACTGACACGCGGTGCAGCTAGCGCGACGGATCTTGCAGCACTCGAGCCATCAAGACACCCGATTATGCTGGCAGCTCGACGCGGGCATCTAGATATTGTGCGTTTCCTGCTCGCTCACGACGAATGTACGTCCAGCCTGCCCGACGCAGCGTCCCGCGTGCTGTGCTGTGCAGCGGAGCATGGTTATCTGCAGATGGTAGAGCATGCTTTAGCTCGAGGAGCCGATATTGAGGCCATTGGTGGCAAGAAGCAGGCTACGCCGTTAGTTCTTGCAGCTCGACAGGGCCACTTGGCTGTCGTGCTTCACCTTCTGTGGGGCGGTGCGAAGATTGACGCTGCCACTGCATCCACAGGCTACACAGCTCTGCATTATGCAGCTAAGCACGGCCACCTCACGGTTGTCAACAGCTTACTCCTCAACGGTGCTGATGTTGACGCTGTCTGTGCGCAGCGCCAGTCGTCGCCACTCCACTTGGCTGCTGAATCGGGTCACGGAGACGTGGTGCGCTGTCTGTTATCCTTTGACGCTAGTGTTGATGCCAAGAAACACCCGGGGACCATGACGGCTTTGCACATTGCTGCAGAGCGTGGACATGTTGGTGTGGCGCGCGAGCTGCTGGCACATGGAGCGAAACTCGAAGCGCAAGCGCAGAACGACTTGCGTGCACTGTTCATTGCCGCGTATTGCGGTCACAAGGACGTCGTCGAGCTGCTGCTTGATCACGGAGCCGAACTGGAAGCCGTATCAGGCACCAACAAGACCACGCCTCTGCGTGGAGCGGTATCGAAGGGCAGGACCGACGTCGTTGAGCTGCTACTGGCCAAAGGCGCCGATGTTAACGCTACGCAGCCAACAGACGGAACTACGAGCTTGCATAGCGCGGCTGCTAACGATTTCGGCGGCATTCTCAAGAAGCTAGTGACGGCTGGAGCGGATCCTGACCGAGAGGATCGCGAAGGTCGCACCCCAATGGACTACGCTGCGTCGGACCCCATTCGGCTGCAGCTTCGTCTGGCGCTGCTCAAGTCTCACTGGCAAAAGCAGGACGGAGGACGAAAGTGAGCGCCCAGAACCGCAGGAGACTCGCTGCTGCGTTTACCATTTTTGCACACATGTTAGAACATGTACGAGATGCGGAACAGTTCTGCAGATATGATACAATTTTATTCTTTAAAAAAATATACAACGGATGAAGTGAAAACACAGCTCTTCAACTACAGTACCGCTAATTGCTAGCGAACAACACTGCAGCAGTGAACCGGGACTTCCGAGTCCGACGAGAAGGTCTTCTTCTTCAAGACTCGAGTCGAGACTCTCAAAAATTGAGTCGGATGGGCAAGCACCGTAACCATCACAAAAGTGGACCGTTACCAACGTTGCAGTTGCGCCAATCGGTCACGTCAACGGCGCCCGGTTCAGAAATTGGCAACGAGCTGCTGTCTGCGGCAGAAGTCGTCGCAAACTCTGTCCGGGTGGACTCCACCGTCCACCACGGAGTCTGTGGTGAAGTTTATCGTGTTTTTCCACACCGCAAAGTAAAAAAAATGTTGAAAGACTTAATCATGAAGTCTTCATGGTCCTTGATTTAAGACTTGAAGTCTTTTTTGATAAGCATCGAGCTGAAAACCAGCCGATCTTGGTATGGACACGCGTGCAGGGCACTTGCCGTTTGTATGCTGGCATGTGAGTGCCAAGCTCGAGCGCTGTCATCTGCAACGCCGGCCCGAGCGCCATGTGTACACAGTAACGCCGATCAGCCTTTTACAGGGACGTGGAAGGGCGTGGATACACACCGCCACCTGCAAGTTTCACGCAGAAAAATGAGGCTGCCAACTCACGGAATTCGCCATTGAATTCAGGCTAGTATACACATAGCAGGACGCCAAGCATCGCTCGGTGATCAATAGTGGAAACCGCGGCGACCGAGTGGACAAGGCGACACATTTTGCCATGCTCGACTTGGTTCTTGTATCCTGAACCCTGGTGACAGCGGAAATGTATGCCCCTACTGTAATCAGCTGCAAGTCAGAATTTGCACTCAGTGTTTGTATGGACTCGAACCGGATGTCTCAAGGGCATCTCGTCAGCGCTCGTGCTCTGTCCAACAGCTTCCGATCAGCGTCTGGAGGAGAGATCAGCTTCGGGAGATACACAGGCGGTCAGGGGCCTGTCAGTGAGCGTGTGCGTGTCGGTCGGCGCGAGATGAAGCTCATTCCCGAATTTTCTATCTGCCGATCAAGCAGCTAGTTTCTACTCCCGACCTCGTCAGTATCCCCACCTTCAGCACCATGAAGTTCGCTGCCATTGCCTCCGCTGCTGCGCTTGTCGCCGTCTCCAACGCCGCCTCGTGCGACGTGACCTCGCTCCAGACGCTCCTGACCTCGTCGGACACGACCACGTGCGCCACGGACTCGGGTTACACGGTGACCTCGCTGGCCACCCCCACGGACGCCGAGATGGCTGTCATGTGCACCAGCACTGCCTGCCAGTCGGTGCTCACGCAGCTCCAGACGCTTGCCCCGTCAGAGTGCACCCTGGGCACGTTCGCCCTGTACGCCGACCTGATCACCCCGCTGACCAACTACTGCGCTGGCGGCACCTCTGCCGGTTCGTCCACCGGATCGTCGGCCACCACCGCCACTGTGGGCTCCACCGCCGGCTCCAGCACCTCGGCTACCGTGACGGCCAGCTCCACGGGATCGGCTGACTCGACCACGCCTGCCACCTCGACAACCTCGAGCGGCTCCAGCACCTCGCAGACTGCGACGTCCTCGTCGTCGGCTGCTTCTACTGCCGCTTCGGCCTCGACCTCGGGCAGCAGCGGCGCCAGCATGGCTGCCGTCTCGGCCGGTGCCGTCCTGGCTGCTGTGGCCGCTGCTTTCTTGTAAGCGTAGCCGCTAGCGAAGACCGATTTTGGTCCCAGTTATAAAGAATATATGATGTCCTCTTTGCAGATTTACATGAATGGAGTGGCTTCCTTCTTCGCTTGGAGGTCAAGTCGCCGTGTGTTTGTCATCGTTCCACGACGTACGTAGACGGTTCTGCACTCATTTCGTCAGCTCCGTTTCACACGTAAATGAGCCTTTCGATATGGCCCAAGCGTTTCGGTATCGCGTTGGAGCAGGTTGCTCCATGGCCAGCATGACCCAGGACTCAGGTTGCTTACACCAGCAAATGTACCCAAGTTTTTGCGTCCGGTTCCGCTGCACTGAATTCAGCTATCTATAGAGACGAAAGCGAGATCGCGTTCCCATTGAGCCCCAGTCTTCTAGTCGCCCCCTGCCCTCCACCCCACCCGCTGTACACCTCAACATCCGAAAACGAGATGGCGTCTCGACGAGGAAGGCTTCGCGCAGACTGGTGGATGAGCTTCATGGTGCTCTGCCTGTTCCTCACTGTTGTGACCTCCCAGACCCATGACTTTGGTGAGTACTGTGCGGACTCTGTCCTTGCAATGAGTGAGCGATTAATTGGGATTGCCTTGCTTCAGGCGATACTTCCTCTATTGATGCAGGTACAGGATCGAGTGATACAACAGCTCCAATGACCTTGGCGCCCGGCACGACAGCTCCGACGACTACAGCTCCTGCCACAACTGCTCCAGCCACGACATCGCCGACACCGACCACGGCTGCTCCATCAACCAGGGCTCCGACAACTTCAGCCCCAATCCTCCCCACAACTGCACCAAGAGATCCGACGACGACAGCCCCGGCCAGTGCAACCACTGCACCTACGTCTCCGACCGCTGCACCAGTCGCAACTACAGCGCCAAGCACGACGACAGCGACGTCTTCTCCAGCCACACCAACCGCAGCGCCGGTCGTGGAGTATTATAACTCGTCAACATTGCCTCCCGGAGTGGATGCCAGTATGCTTGGCGGTGCCGAGCTGGTCACAGTGGAAGTCACGGAGACGACGATGGGGGACGGCACCACTTCGTACAGCTACGTGATCATCACCAGGAGTGGCGACACGGAGAAAACGATCGTGTTAAGCCCCACTAGTAGCTCAGCCACCAGCAGTAGTGGCGACAGCAATACTGCAACCCAGTCAGGTAGCTCTCTAGCGGACTCCAACAACAGCAACGCCACCAAATCTTCCAGCTCCATCGGCCCTGGGGCGATCGTCGGGATTATCGTGGCGGCCGTCGTCTTCATGCTCGTGCTGTTTGCTTTCTTCATCGCGCAACGCCGCCGCAACAAACACCGACGCAGTGACGCTTCTTCCGAGGACTTTTTGGCATCCCCCACCATTGGAAAGCAGTCTCGACTACTAGAGCTAGGCCAGTCGCCAGCAGACACGGAGTATCAGGAAATTACCCGAACGGCTGCAAACTCGCGCTCGTCTGGGGGCTCAATGCCTGACGGTAGACGACACCGGAACACGCTGTGGGAAGACCCAGTCATCCTAGCATCGCGAATCCCCATCGACCGTATCGAGTTAGGCGCCATCGTCAGCCGCGGGGGGTTCGGTGAAGTGTATCGAGGACGCTACCGAGACCAGGACGTGGCCATCAAGACGCTGCTGCCGGAGAAGCGCAAGGACTTGGCGCACATCCAGGCGTTCCTGTCGGAGGTGCGACTCATGGCGACTATGGAGCATCCTCACATTGTACAGTTCATCGGTGTGGCGTGGGAGTCGCTGAGTAATCTCTTCTGTGTGACCGAGTTCATGGTCGGTGGAGATCTACGCTCGCTGCTGAAGGACTACCTGTCCAATGGGGTTCCGCAGGGCATGGATGCCTGTAAAATGCAGATCGCATACCAGGTGGCCTACGCGTTGACGTATCTGCATTCGCTGGATCCCGTGGTCCTGCATCGCGACCTCAAGTCTCGCAACATCCTACTGACGGAATCTCTGAACGCCAAGATCACGGATTTTGGCGCCTCGCGCATCCGCTCGGACGCGACCATGACTGCTGGCGTGGGGAGTTGTCTGTGGATGGCGCCCGAGGTGATGATGGGCAAACGCTACGGTGAGAAGGCGGACGTGTTCTCGCTGGGTGTGGTCATCTCGGAGCTGGACACGCACGAACTGCCGTACTCGCACGCGAAGGAGGGCAACAGCGGCGGTAGCGGGCATCCTTTGCCGGACACGGCCGTGCTGCAGATGGTGTCGATGGGCAAACTGCGCGTGCGGTTCTCCCCGTTCATGGACCCGGATATGGCTCGTTTCGTAGGCAGCTGTGTGAATGTGGACCCTGAAGCGCGCCCCACGGCGGCCGAGGTGCTCTACTACATGCAGGTGGCATTGCGGGAATTCTGATAGTACTGGTTATGGCATTCTACATTCTGTGTAAGCTCTTGCATGCCTATGACCTTCTGTCTTGCTCAGCAAGTCTAGATCATCTTGAGCCTTGTTGGTGCAATTCAGTTGAAAAAAGCTGCCGCGTAATCTGCCGTCGCTACTATCGAAGTGGCATAGATATCTGGAAGAGGATAAGTATTTGAGGGTCAAACAATTCCTCTATGCCGCCCCCGTCGACTCTCGCTTGCCACCGAGTTGGCAATGCCATCAAGCAGTTTTGGTGCGGTGCCGGCACTTTGAGAGTCAGTAGCTCATACTTACTTCAAGTAATCGCGAGTCAGCATCAGATCGCTCGATCGTGGAGCAACATCATCCTGCGTGCACTTCAGCTCTGCATGCCATACACCATGCAATGCATGGAGGCCACGGCCACGGAGGTCTCTGTGAATGTCAGTGCCACTCGCGGTTGCTCTCTACAGACACTCCGCTTTGTGACTGCTTGCCATAATGGGGGCTGTAATGGCTATCGCATCATATTCTCAACACTCTTCAGCGTTTGACTTGGACAAGAACAGCGATGAGAAATCGCGGCTGGAAACGTGAGAATCGGCTGCGAATCCGTCACCTCCGCTGCGAAGCGCTGGACAAACAAGAAAAAGAACCGGATTGTAGCTCTTCAACCCGAGCCGTCCCAGCCGATCAAAGGAAGAGTGGCATTACCGCAGTGAGTTCCCGCTCCTTCATTGACTCTCTCGCCTGCGCTATGCTCAACCCGCTGGTGGAGTCCACTGTTCGAGTTCCACTTGCCTGTCCACTCAGCGGGGGCACTCGCGTTCCGTACATCGGCGCAAGTTATTCTCCGATCTGCCGCCTGCTACAGATACAACTAAGAAATCTTCGAATCAACCATGAAGGTCTTCACGTCCTCGCTCCTAGCCGCCGCCATGACCACGGCCGTTGCACGCGCTGCCACGTGTGACACTGCGTCCGTGACGGCTCTGCTGACGTCCACCGAGGTCGCATCATGCGCGAGCAACTCCGGTTACTCCCCGTCCTCGCTGCAGACGCCCACCTCTGCTGAAATGGACACCATGTGCACTGACACGGCCTGCCAGACTGTGCTGTCCGACCTGACCACCATGTTCCCCGAGGAGTGCACGGTCGGCACCTTTGCCCTGTACGCCGACCTCATCACGCCCGTAGCCACCTACTGCTCGGGCAGCTCGGGTTCGTCCACCACCACTTCGGCTAGCTCGAACCCTTCGGCATCATCTACGTCCACTGCCGCTTCAGCCACGTCGGCCTCTGCTTCGGCTGGTTCGGCAGGCACCGTTGCCAGCACGTCCTCAGCCTCGCTCGACAGCGCTCAAGAGGTGACTGTGGCCCCGACCATTAACACGACGTCCTCGGCCAGCGCAGACGACGACGTGACGGTGGGCGACTCGAACTCGGGCAGCGACCTCACCATCGAGACCCAGGCTCCGGCCAGCGAATCGGCTTCGACCACGGCGGACTCAGCTGCGAGCGCCTCAAGCGCTGCGGACGACACTTCCAGTGGCTCCAGCGCCGGCGTCGCCGTGACTCCGTCAGCTGCTCTGCTGGGATCGGCCCTGATGGCTACGGTGGCTTTGTTCCTGTAGAACTCTTGTCACTCGTAACAACGCCTGAATTTTTAACTTGAGTGCACTAATTGCCTCTACTTAGCTGTTGCATTAGGAAAAGGGGGCACAGTGTTGCACCAATAAACCATTCAATGTACCTGCCCATTGGCGTATTCTTGTTTCTGTGTGGTGTTGAGGAATAAACTGATACAGCGTTCTTTGCAAACGTTTTATCATGTTATATTAATAACAATTATTAATAGCTTGAATAGCTCAAAGCGCATAGCTGCTCGGGTATTGCTTCGAGATTGTGTGCAACCGATAGAGCACCTCTGCTGCTGTGGGGCGATCCTGCGGCTCAATCTGCAAGCACTGTCGGGCCAGCTCTGTCATCTCAATGGGGCCAACACCAGAGAACTGTACCTGCAGTCTACCCATAAGCACGAGCTGCAGCACCGCCGTATCGGGCAGTGGTCGACTAGTTTCACTGTTCTCCTTGGCATGGGAGTAAGGCAACTCGTGCGTATCCAGCTCCGAGAGCACAACACCAAACGAGAAAACGTCGGCCTTCTCGCCGTACCGTTCACCCATGACAACCTCGGGTGCCATCCAGAAGCTCGTGCCCACTCCCGCTGTCATGGTTTTGTCTGACCGCTCACGGGAAGCTCCAAAATCCGTTATCTTGGCATCCAAAGACTCTGTTAGCAAAATGTTCCTCGATTTGAGATCGCGATGCAGCACTATGGGGTCGAGAGAGTGCAAATAGGTTAGAGCGTGTGCCACCTGCAACGCCATCTTGATCTTCGCGGGCTCAAAGCCCCGCGGGTGACCGTTCTCGTAGTGCTTGACAAGAAGAGTACGAAGGTCTCCACCCTCCATAAACTCGGATATTGCGTACAGCTCGCTCAACGATTCCCAGGCCACACCGATGAACTGCACGATCTGTGGGTGCTCCATAGTGGCCATGAGCTTGATTTCGGCCAGGAACGCTTCGATGTGATTCATGTCCTTCCTTGTAGACGGCAGTAGCGTCTTAACCGCGACATTCTGGTCGCGGTACCGGCCGCGATAGACTTCACCGAATCCGCCGCGGCTAAGCAGCTCGCCAAGTTCCACACGGTCGAATGGGATGCGAGCAGCAACGATCACTGGGTCGTCCCAGAGACTGATAGAGTGTCTGCCTCCGCTTCCAGTCGTAGAAGAGTTGGGGTCTCCTCCGTATGTGTTGCCGCTCCGGTGCGGGTGAGTCGTGGAGCCTGTGTAGGTGGAGCCAGTGTTGTGTTGGCGATGCTGTTCGTATGGTACGTCGATGGCGTGCGAGTCGCCGGTCTTGGGCGTGTGGATAATGGCGGCGGCCACTGCCTCCTCCAGTTCTCGTTTGCGTTTGGCCCTCCGGCGCTTGCGCGTGTAGCAACAGCAGCAAATGAGCAGCAGCAGCGCGACGACGCAGCCGGCCACGATGCCGATGAGCGCGCCCGTGCTGAGACTCACCTCGTACGAGACTTGGTCATCTTGAGCCACGGCCAGCAGTGGTAACAGGCTGGACACCACCACGGCGACATACAGCATGGTGACGCGATGAAGGTCTGCGCTGACTACGAGAAGTGCTGAAATACAGCCGGCCCTGCGGCCTCAGAGTTCAAGGCGGACTCCCGTAGCGTCGCAGAAGAGATATCCATAAGCCCCAGCAAATCAGGCCCCGTGAACACGAACAGATGGGAACACGAGACGTGCATTTTGGCAAAATCCGCCAAGCTCAGCACTATCCAGGACGACACGGACACGATGCACTTGAACACTTATGCTTGATGCGGCTTTCCATTAACTTTTGCAGCTTCCAAGTATCGTTGACGCCGCTATTAACTTGGCAGTGAAGGAGCTGTCCAACGGATATTGGTACTGCCAGAATATTCAAATCCTTAAGCCAAGATATACTCGTATGATTTCAGAAATTCTCAGAAGTGTTGATTTCGCAGCGCCACCTGCATGTAGTAGAGCACCTCGGCCGCCGTGGGGCGCGCTTCAGGGTCCACATTCACACAGCTGCCTACGAAACGAGCCATATCCGGGTC